CGGGAATTTACATTACTATAATCGAACCAATGTCCGATTTTCGATCTGTAAACGGCATTTGACGCTTTTTTAAAATATAATTCACGCTACGATGCCCTTTTTCCAAAAATCTAGCAAAAAGTCAAATTGAAAATTAGTTCTCGAACTTCCGAGAAAAAATTAAAAAATGTGGGCTTATAGCGCCATGGCGACATGGTTGCTGAATCCACGCCGTGACATCATGCAAATCGAATGAATAGAAAGCGTCGTAAAGGGAAATTTACGAAAAACGCCTCGTCCCCCCCCTCCCCTCTGCGCCGTTGCATCACCCCGGTTATGGTGACCCTCCGCGGCCGACGGCACGGCCAGGCGGCGTGCGGCCAGCCCGCGCAGCAGGCGGACTTGCGGGATACGCGAGCCCAGACTGTCGGTTTATGCTTTCGTCACTTTGCAATCTCAATCAATCCACAGATAGTAATAGTAACACATAACTATCTTTTTAAACATATTTCCGTCTTCCTTTGAATACCATATTAAAATTGTTTGAGACATTACTCAAAATATCGATTCCTATTTGGAACTGTTTTTTAAACAATTGAACTAATTCTTAAATATCACCATTAGTCCATCTTCTCACATCTTATTTTAGATATATTTTACTTCTAAGTATTCCGTTTTCATTTCACCTTACTCTAAGATCTTCCGTTTTCACATACCGAAAGAAATGAGCGGAGTATACGCACGAGCTCTTTTATCCTACAACTCGATTTTTTATCTCAAAACGGCGTTTATCTGCTTTACAGAGATTATCTGGTGAATCTCTCTTTTCCCAAGTAAAATAGCCGAAGCTATTTTTAAAAATGTTTTCGCACTTCGGACAAATTTAAAAAGGAAAAATAGCGCGCTGGCGAGCTGCATCCTGACCCAACTCCGTAACAAGCATCCGAAATAAGATATGAATCACCCCAGCTTACTTGTAAGTTATATTGATATAAAATAAATGTTATATCTGTATATTTGAAGAATAAATAATTCCCGGTGCGTCATGTCGTACAGACTACGAAATGGAATTTAAGAAGATAATGATGCAATTGGATAAGCTCCTAAATTTGGAGCATGTTTTCCCTTCAATTTTCTGTTTTGTAAAAAAGTGGATTTCATATAAAAAGTTATGTTATAGCTATCTATCTGCCGTTGTAAAACCATATGACGTGACTCTTATAAATCGGCCACAATGATATAAAATAAATGGAACATTCAAACAGCTTAAAAACCAACGAATTTTTTTCTGCTGAGTATGAATCGTGGTAGAATATACTTTACGCTAACGCTTACGCGACATAATGTAATATAAACAAACTTTCCAAGAAAAGATAAAAATGAGGTTCTTTTCAATGGGAATTGGTTTCTGAAAATCTTCAGAAAGTATACAGTTAATCATAATGGACTCTGTTTTACATCATCATCACATCATTCATTAATAATAATAATAAGTAATAATTAATAATAATAATAATAATAGGCACGCGTTTGGAGTAAAAAATTGTACTATAGTTTTGACTTATATCGTCCATTGAATCTTCCACTTCGCATGGGTCTGAGATTTCCACGATTTATAAAATTTGAAAACTTCTTAATTTGACGGAGAGAAATATTTCCTGCTCCACACTTATGAAGTAGTTAGTTCCCATGATTCTTCCCCTGTGTCTTTGAAATGGTTCGATTGGAATATTTAGCCTACAACCGGGCACCTCCCATTTCCAAGTTTTTTGTTCGGGCCCAATGCATTTCTTCCACTATCTCTGGTTCTCGTTTGTGTGTGATAGACTATATACTAGTACATACACACACCACACACACACACCACACCCACACACACACGATCTACTTGTAAGTCCTTCTCATGTAACTTTTTCGGTGTATTCTCACCCCCCCCCCCAAAAAAAACAAACGGGCTCATCCGCCTGTTTATGCTTATCACTTTGATTATATCACTTAATCTTATATTTGATTATTATTATTATTATATTATTGCGTGTAGCGCACATTTACTAACCATGCTACACGATATAACGCCCACCCCTAATTTTTTTCAGAATCAGATTATTCTCCTGTATTTGCAAGTATGACAAGTTGTTACGCAATTGAATTGTGAATTATGAGATGATAGGATGATGAGATTAGGTGAATAGGACATATACTAATAAAATATGACAGGTGTAAAATGATCTATCTTTTCTCAGAAAATTGCGCCAGTCAGTCTAATGGAATCGCGCTACTACGAAAACACTTCTCAACTCCAAAATAATATTGGCCATTCTTTTCAATACTCTCATACATGAATGCATCTATTCAAGCCGTTCCGTATTATTATCCAAAGTTCTAGTGATATGAGAGGAGGACCTTACATTCTGAGACATACAATTACATTTATTAATGTAACACCAGAGGTTTACACAGAGGCGTCTGATTATGTAATTGAATTATGCAATTGATATTATGCTGATATCTGCAAGTATTATTGTAGGTAAACTTTAGAAAATAAATCCGATAATTATGTACCTACGTAAAGTGCACCATGCATTAACGTCATAAATATAAATTAGTCTGCAGCACAACAAAAATGTTTACTAATGAAAACCATACAAAATGTATTCCAAATATAGAAGCCACACTACTCAATAAACAAATAAAACATACTCACGTCTTTAGTCCAAATATAAATTTAGTTAATTTTAAGGGAAAAACCAACTTTGATGAATTACTACAAAACGACAACAAAGTATAGTATGTAACAGTTAACTTTTTATTTCAATAGAAGAACACAAAAAAGTAAATAAAAATGCATTCCCATAAGTGAGTCCAGCATGGCTAGTGCTCATTTTTTTTTTTTTCCTTGTATGAAACCGTATTTTTGAGTACGTCTCTGTATTGTCAGCCTGCTCGTTTTGTCCCTTAAATATCTATAACAGAAAATTGCAATTAACATTTACCTTTTAAGGTGAAAATCCCAAAAAACAAGATAATTCTAGCTTTTGAATATTTATTCAACGAGGTCATATATCTTACAATTATACATTCTTTCTCAAAGGGGACCCGAGATGACTGCCACAGTTTTCCTTCCTCCGATATCTTATGCCGCTGGTGTGAACAAATTTTTTACTACTACAAACAAATTACCCAAAAAAAGAGATTTTTATTTTATTAAAAAAAAAGAAAAAATTATATAGAGAGAGAGAAAACAGCCGTGATAGTGCTGCGATCTATTGAATTTTCCTACAAGTATTTTTCGGTGCATTTAGCCTTAAAACGACCGTATTTTCATTAATTTTGATACAAACGAAAATTCAGGTGGAACTATCCGGTACAAACGATTTACAATGTTTCCAATTTTTGAAGTTGGCACCACCACAATAGAAAGTGCTTTATCTTGTAAGTTATGGTACAAACGAATGGTAATGGTTGTGGTTTTCGCTGTGGTGGCTGTACCAACTTCATAGAAATAGCCCTGCGATCCCTCTCGCATTGTAATTCACACATAAATCCCGCGCCTATGCGACTTCCTTTTATGGTGTCACGCAGCAGCCTACCACGAAAAAAAGCGACAGACAGCGACGTTTCCTTACCAGCAATAAATTCATTTGTGGAGGGCGCTCCTACAAGGCGAGGAGTGGTATGTCACCCCCCTTTTTTTAAAAAAGACCTGACCTGGCAGTGGTGACAAAGGGAGGGCGTGTCCAAAGGCCAGCTCAGCGTGTAGCCCATGGCGGCTAGCTCTCGTCCAGGGGTGGGATTCGGCATTGAAATAAATAATTATTTCGCGTTCTACCCCACTATTGAGGGCATCTTATGCTAATACAGTGAGTGTAAATACAATCCAGTATTCCAGTTGTTTAAATCACGGGGGGAAACCCAACGGCAACAAACACTTTCCTGTTATCTTGTGAGATGTTTCCTGAATATATCAATAGCCACATGCTCAGACATTGCCCAAGCTGTGAGGCTGCTTGCTCAGTAGAACAATTCATTTGGAATTTTCTTTGGCATATGGGCATTGGACATTTTGGACCGTGAAGAGCATTTCACAGTATCGAAAAAGTACGGAGTTGAGGCGGCATGAGTAGAGTCGAAGATTCTTCTGTTGCAGGATAGTACATCAGATACGACAGGATACATTAGACACTGACAATGCTGAGTAGATAGGCAATCATTCAGTGTGTGTTTCATCCAACTCTAACACTAAATTCAAGAAAACAACAGATGGTTGGAGTTTAAATGCTGGTAATAAATCCAGTTTTCAATGTTTGAACTTATGCATAAAGTAATGTTTGTTGTTCCTTTGGGAGATTGTTTGAACAGCACAGACTGAAGCACACAGCATCAATTCACATGGCAGATTATATTTTATAATACATTCACATGCCAGATTAACTGTGATTATTGAAGATCAAAGGGTTGACCCTTGAGAGTCTCAAGGCAAAACATTGGAGTTATAATGGATCAACACTATCCTTAACTCCAGTTTGAGAGTCACAACGTTTCACTGTTTGATCAGCTTCAATCAATATTCATATGTACACAGACAAAAAGAGACATTAAGAAACAAAGAAGGGACAAAAGAGGAGACTGTTCAGATTTCAATAAAGAAAATTGACTCAATCGCTGCTTATGCTACTATAACTTCTTTACTTTTTATATAAAACATGATAGCATAATTTCAGGTATAAATGCCACAATATTTAACAATTATATAAATAGCATTACAGATTCTGGAATATCCATGTATTCAGGTCCACATAATTATTCAGTTTACAGAAATTTAAACTCTTATTCACATTATGTGTTCATCTCCTAACTGGCCTTGTATTTACATTTTTGTGCATATTTGGATACATCTCAGTCCAGGTAAGGTACCACTTTATAACGTTGTTTCTGTAACTTTCTTTTCAAGAAACAGCTTGTGTTAAAACTCAAGTGTTTTAAACAATTATTATCTTAGAAAAGGTCAACATTTCCATAACTGACACAACATTCTTCTTATATTCTCTGTTGTCTTTAAACATAGGTGTCATCTGTCAATAAAGTTGATCATTATTAAATTCACATTTAACAAAAGTCAAAGAAAAAAATATAGTTAAAGAAGTTAAATTTTCTAAAGCTTTACCTGTTTATCAATTTTCATTATTTCCAACCATACTGCATCACTGTCATAAGCAGTTACTGTGTGAAATAACTTTAAACAGCTTTCCTAAAAATAAGAAATAAAAATTACATATGGTATGATATTCACAAGATTACATATGTTATGATTTATTGGAAATTTTCTTGAATTGAAGTCCAATATTAAAATGATTAAATGCCCATGATTAGTTTTCATTTAGTATTCATAAGGGCTATGAAACACAGCAGTTGCTGTAGGCCCGTCTTGTCCATCTCTGAGCCAACGTATAAGATTATAACAACGGTATAAGATCAGAGATGAAGCTACAGCTTAACACACACACACACACGCACGTGTACACACATAAAACTACTATAGAATGGTTAA